GGGCGGGGCCTCCGGGAATCATGGGGCGGGGCCAAAGGTGGGAGTCAGGTGCTGGCGATTCAAACATGGCGCCTGCCTGCCTGCTGTGTGCGGGGAGGACTCGCCAAAGGAGCAATGGCCTCCGCCAGCTCCTCTGCCTGGGAGGAAGCTGCCCCTCCACCTGTTACCCAGATTCCAGGCAGGTTAGTTCCTCCCCGAGTGTCCCGGGTCCTTTCAAGCTGCTCCCGGCGCTGGGCTCAGAGGGAGCGTCCGAGTGAGTCCGTGTGAGGGCCCTTTAGAGGAGCTGCTGGGGCTCCTGCAGTCTCCATGTCCCTCAGAGATAGTCCCCACTGGTTTCACAGCCGGGAGTTGTGGGGACATCCATTCCCAGCCCTGGAGCCCTGGGCTGGGGCCTGCTATGGGGCTGGGACCCCTCCCTCCTCCAGGAAAACCCCACCGCCGAGATTCCCTCCCGGGTTTCAACCCCGGCACCGGGTGTGGGCCGGCGGCCACAGCCCCAATCTGCCCGCGTCTTCGCCCCTCCATCTGCTCTCGAAGCTCCTTCAGTTTCCCGGTTATAGGGTTTCCNAGGAAGGAACTGCCCGGAAGATGGGAGACTCCAGGTTACTCAGGTTGCTGGGTGCAGGGAGGGGTAGTTGCAGGGAGGGATCGGTACAGGGAGGGTAGATGCAGGGAGGGAAAGGTACAGGGAGGGTAGGTGCAGGGAGGGTAGGTGCAGGGAGGGTAGGTGCAGGGAGGGTAGGTACAGGGAGGGTAGGTGCAGGGAGGGTAGGTGCAGGGAGGGATAGGTGCAGGGAGGGTAGGTGCAGGGAGGGTAGGTGCAGGGAGGGATAGGTACAGGGAGGGATAGGTGCAGGGAGGGACTGGCTCCCTGGCACTATGGGGTGGGGTGGGCAGCACGTACCCATGGTGGCAGAGAACATGACGATGCCCAGCACGTTCATGCCATCACTGGTGCCAGGCTCTGACTTGTAAATGACCTCAGGTGGCGGGGTCAGGTCCAGGGTGAAGTTCTGAACGTGAGAGCCATTCTCTTCCTGGACCCCATAGATGAAGATCCGCCGAGAAGGGGCCTCCTCCAATGCCACTTTGGGGGACTTGACAATGGGTGTGGTCTTGGTGCGGTACTGGTGGCGACACCCCAACCAGGAAGGAGTGAGGGCCAATGTTGTTATTAATATCAACAACAACAATAATAATAACATCTTGGAAACACATTTGTATCCACTCATGAACTATCTGATTGACAATAACCCTGTGAGGTAGGCAGGACAGGGATTATTATCAATATTTTACCAAAAGAAAACCGATTCCTTCGTTCATTCACACACTACCCAGCCACGCCTCTCTCCATTCCTTCTCCCCTCTTCTTCCTTCTAAGAATCATTACAGCCTCTGGGTCCCTCTCTAACCATCTGTCTCTCTTTTTCTTCAACTACCTGGGTAATTCTCTGTTTACCATCTATCCCTTCTAACCACCCATTACCCACCCACCTAACAGCCAGCCCTGCCTGCCACTGATGGAATCTTGGACCTTCTATAGGCCACTTCATTTTATTGCACCTTGCTTTCCTGTGCTTCACAGATATTGTGTGTGTGTATGTGGTGTTGTTGTTGTTACAAATTGAAAACACGGCCCTCCACCAGCAAAAAGATTGCTACTTCTTTTATTGCAATACTCGTTTTATTGTGGTGGTCTGGAACTTAACCTGTAGTAGCTCCAACGTATGCCCGTATTTGAAAAGTTCAGCTTGCCCCAAGCCTCCTTGATGAGCCACTGAGCTGCCTACCTTTCCTCTTCTCCCCGAGGGAGTGGGGGGGGGGGAAGAAGGTACATGCTGTACATGCACTATGATCCTAATTTTACTTTTAAAAACATATTTATTTAGAGAGAAAAAAAAAAACACGAGAAGTGTACCAACTAATACCACTATTGCTAGGTGCTGGAACTAGAGATAACTTTTATTTTCTGTTTTATATTTTTTAGTATTTTCCTAATATTTTATAGTGAACGCTATTACTATTCTTATTAGGGGGAAATAATTATTTTAAAAGAAAAACAGGCCTAGAAGTAGACAGGCCTAGGTTTACCTACTAGGCTACCATTTACTAGTGGTATAACCTTGGGCAGATTCCTTAATCCTCCCAGCCTCAGTTTCCTCATCCAGAGAGGGGTTAACCTTACCTGAGGGCAGGTTATTTTGAGGACTGTGAGGACTTTGTAAGCCCCACTGTAAATGTAGAGCGGAGCAGCACCCTGTAAAGTGGTGCTCCACCCTCACAGTTTTTCTTTGTGCAAAGCTGGAACCCAGAGCAGGGCTATGGCCTCGGGAAGCTCTAAGGATCTAAGTTCCCCCTCCTCCTCTTCCCTCTAGCATCCTGCCCCCAGGAGATGGGGAGACTTGCTGGTAAACCTGTCACTACCCAGTTGGGTCCAGGCTGGCCCTGCCTGCCACCCTTTATCCCCTAGGGACCCACTCACCTGTTTGAATGTGGCTTCTACCAGGTTGGCTGGGAACATGTTCCTGGAAAGAGAGTCAGGGATTGAATGGATAGGAAGGCCCTTGGGATCAACTGAACACCTCCTTCAGCAGTCAAGGCCCTCCAGGACCCAGTCTCACCTCCCTCTGTAGTCTCACCTCCTCCCACCCCCAGGCCACCCCTAGTACTTAAAGCTCCAAGTCCAACTGCATACAGTCCCCTAAACATGCTGCATCTTTTTCAGCTCCAGTCCTCTTTACACTGTTCCTTCTGCCTAAAATGCCCTTCCTGCTTCTCTAACTCTTACTCCAATCAGTCAGAGGTCAAGTCTTCTCCCACTGCTCCAGGTTGACTCTGTGGCCCCTCCCAAGTCACCCACTCTCTAGCACACACAGTCTGCCTGGCTCGCATGTCTGCCCCCTCGCCCCAGACTGGCTTCCTTAAAGATGGCACTTGGTCATTCATATCTTATCTGTGGTGCCCAACCCAGGACCTGGCACATAAGTGGGATAATTATTTTTATTAATATTATTTTCATAAAGCTAAAGGAGGAGAGGGTCTTGTTGTACCATATATGAAAACATACTATAAAGACGTAACTGTCAAAACAGTGAAAAACTGATACAGCGATCAATAGAAAAATCAATGCAATGGAACCAGTGGCCTGGAAACAGAACCTAAGACATCTAAGTCTTTTATGTTTGACAAAAGTTGTTTCACAAGTCAGCAAAGAAAAGAATTCATTATAGAGAACTGTACAGTCTACCAACTATTCAGAAAAAAGTTAGATCCCAATTTACACTTTGCACTCAAATAAATCCCAGATGGTTTAAAGAAATAAATAATTTTTAAAATGCAACCATAAAAAGCTAAAACAAAATATAGATTAGTATTTTATCAGATCTCAGGATATGGAAGGATTCTCTAAGAACAAAATGAGCAATAAAAACTAACAGATGTTACTGCATTAAAATTAAAAATTTCATAAGTATGATATGGTATCCTGGATTGGGTTCTAGGGCAGGAAAAAAAAGGACATTAGTAGAAGAACTGGTGAAATCCAAATGGGCAAGTTATGTGAGCGGTTAATGTCGGGGGAAGCTGGGTGAAGGGCACATGGGAGCTCTGTATGTACTATCTTCGCAACTTTTCTGTAAACCTAAAA